AGTTTAGAAATGAGAAATCAATTCTTTTTTTCACTGGTTGTGAAATTGGTGTAGAATTGTCCACCGTCAACAAGGTCAGAAAGGGTTTGGTTCATCTTGGCTATGAAGAACTGTTTGACATTTTGTTTTTCTACTGAGGATAAAGTCGACTCGAGCACTATCCCCTCCTTTGAGTGCTGTAAATGGAGTCTTCACTTTCCCAAGGGATCGTACGCGTTGGCGGATAGAATAACATAGTAAATGCTTGAATGGCACCAAAGTAGACTCTGATTGCTTCATTATTGTACAGCCAGTTCACTGTGCAATCAATATTCACTACATAATGATAAGATTGAGCAAATAACCTGTCTATTGTCACTTTAAACAAAGAATGTAAAATCTGTTTATTAGAAGTTGGTTTATGTATGAACAAAGCCAAGCTAACTGTTTTTCAAAGCATTCATGCTAAGCTAACTAGCTGTTAGCTTCGTATTTACAAAACAGACATGAGAGGGGACAGTACATCCATAATTTTCTGCTGGTAAAGTTGGTTGCCCCTGTCATATATATAATATCCTCCTACCATAAAATTAAACACATGTTGCATTTCTGAATACAAGATGAAAGGAATTGTGTGTTATTGGTGCTTACTGTTAGGTAAAATGAATGCAGCCAGTGTAGACCAGCTTGTATCGAGTACAAAGGGAACATCAACAGGGGCCAAATCAGTGTGAAGAAACCTAGCCTACTTTGTAACTGGCTTTTTTGCTGTGCCAACTAGTCTTTTTGTCTGCCAAAAGAGTCTGTAACACATGAAAGAGACCAGGGAGTCAGTCCAAAACCAGCTTGAAAGATACGCTCTTAAGAAGAGTTTTTACAGGTGTCACCTTGGTAATAAAGGAAATGTTAGTTTGCTACCTTTTTAGTTTTTACGGTGGGGCCGATGTAACTTAATTATTCATTTGGATTTGAGGGGTCAATGGACCCCTGGGAGCCGGCTGTCATCTTGGCACCAAGTAATAGGCATCACCTGAGGATGGGAGTGACCTTGGCTAATTAAATGTGGTATTTCTGAAGTAATCTGTGTAAAACATGGGACAATTCTCATTATTTCTCCTGACAAAGGAATTGGTAAAGGAAAATTAAAAACATGAGTAGTTCACATAGGAGAAGGCTTTTCTCATTTGCCAAAGAAAGGTCTTGGACCTGAGCGACATTCTATTATACCGATTGCCTATTGTATGTACATAATGTATTCCACTATTAGGTTGCGATCAGATAAATAATAACCACATTTAGATTTCATAAATCATCTTGTTGTATGACGAAGACGACTGTACCCATTGTGTCACAGTTTTATATCAAGTTAGAGAAGCAACTTAATATTTCATGGAAAACAGAAAGTAACCTCCGGGCAGGAACTGTTCACACTTCATGGTATTCTGCTATATTACAGAAATAATACGGAGGGATCCGATTATTCTCTCATTGCCATAGAAACTGGGAAAAATTTAGCTTTCTCTGTAGTTATCATTGTGGTTTGATTTGGAGTGTAGTAGTGAGGCAGGCAGAAGCACTACGAGGTGATGGGGGAGGGTTACTAGGCGCTGAATCTGGGATGCTTTGATGTTGTGCAGGGAGGAGGGAATACAGCAGCGGTGGGATCGCATTCCCAGTAATCTCAATACATGGAACAGGATTCTGGTACAGTGACGTAAAACTCGATCTATAATTATTTATTCCGCTTGTTCTCACATTTAATTCCTTAGTTGTTTTTTGATTGCCTTTTGTCTTCAGTGTGGGTGTTAGACTCTTGTTTCTGTGATGTATAACCTTTACCTTCAATCAATTGGGACTCACCCTGCAGCGGTCCGAAATTGGCATTTCCATTTGAATGATACGAGGTATCTCAGTGGTTAATTTTCTAGCAGCTAATCAATGAATTGAGGAATTTAATGTTAAAATGAAAAATTGAGTTCCCGATACTGTATTTTTTTATTTTAGAAGAAAAATATTTTTGGTGATGTTTTCGTCATTTTTTTCTTTGGCAAGATAAATTAAACTATTGTAATTGAAGCCTGTATGTTACTGTGGGAACACATTGCGCAAACCTTTTCTATCTAAGTGTCATAAATCTCTGGTGAAACATTTGTTAAAGTGAAAGCTTTTTTCTTAGCATTTTGTACCATTTTGTTCAATGGATATATGGCGAGAAAAAAACAAGTCCTTGATGGATGTTATAATTTGGTCTACGAAAGGGAAACATATCTGGCCAATGCTGACTTTCAGTATGAAACGGTTAACCAGCATCAGCTCCCATTTTGTTAATGGTTAACGTTTATTTGACCCACCCTCCTTGACTTCCTCCCTCTGTGGACAAGTATTGTCAGTGTATTCTTAGCATGACCAACTGTAGCTTATTCCTCTTCACTACACAGCTCTATTGTTGTCCAAAGCCACACCCACCTTCATGATTGTGGGTACGGTAGTTTATTATGAGCCTTAAACAGGGTACAAACTTACTTAAAGCTTTTGGACTTCTCATGGGATTTCCTGACGATAACAAAACCAGAGACTAAAGGGTACATTTGCTATTGTTTCTATGTTTCTGTTTTTAAGTGACTACAGGGACATCAGTTCTGTAATTCAGTTCAGTATTGAGAAATAACTCTTCTTGACACACCAAACAGCCTGTGACGTAATTGGGCAATCCTGCACGGTCAATTTACGTCCACTTATAGTCCCTTTTTCTTCTTCTTCGGAAAACAGCCGTTGATTGTCTTATAAGTGTCATTATGGAAAAAAAACGCTTTTCTTTACCTTTGGCTTTATCCGCTTTGTTTCTGTCATGTGACAACGGTGGACCGCCCACCATGTTATTCATAAATGAATAATGTGCTTTAATATAAAATGCAAGACCATTCACAGAATCCTCACTTATAGTCTGTAATACAAATCTCTGTGGGTGTGGTGCATGTGTATGTCTGCACATGTGATTATGTGCTCTGTTCTTTCATGCACATTTTGTACTGATGTGTGTACAAATTTGCTCGTTTGTCCGGCTATGAATTTGCAGTTATGCATTTAGCTGTAATGTGTATGGACGTGTGTATTTTCTCTCAGCGAATGTAAGAGTTTGGCTGTAATTGTTCAGTGTCAGTGTGTGTGTGTGTGTGTGTGTGTGTGTGTGTGTGTGTGTGTGTGTGTGTGTGTGTGTGTGTGTGTGTGTGTGTGTGTGTGTGTGTGTGTGTGTGTGTGTGTGTGTGTGTGTGTGTGTGATGTCCCCCTCGGGGTGTGAATTAGCTTGCGGTGTAGAGGCCATGCTTCACGCTGAGACAGAACTCTGATCAACTGTGTCCAAAAGATGGATAATGTAAAAGTACTCCTCTTTTCTCTCTCATTATTTACATTGACTCCAGCTGCTCTCCTCACAACCCACTGCTTCCTCTGTCTCCCTCCAGACTCCCTTCTCCTCTTTTGGCCTTCATCTTTTCATTTCTTCCATTATTTATTCTTCTTTTGTTGTCCACTTTTCCATTATTCTCACTGCCCTTCTCTCCCTCATCCATCTCTCATCCCCTCACACCCCTGTCTAATCTCATCAGAGGTTATCCTTATTTTCCTCTTCCTCTGTAGACACTAAATACACTCCCATCCTCACAAGTCAAGTAATAAGTACTACCTGTGTCTGTAATGATAATTTGACTCCTTTCCAACTTTTTTTACATGCATTTAATCTAAATTTCTATGAAACGATTACTCAAACATAGGAACAGCAGCTCTTGTCAATTGTACTGCGTACGTTTGTTGGGTTCCTTTTTTGAGTAAGAAAATAAATCAAAATTGATCCGCCAAATAAATAATGTGAGGCCGCTTTTGACGTTAGCTTCGCCGTTTGAAGATTGATTCTGACTAACTGAGTTGGTACTATATCAAGTAACAGGTAGACTCATTCAACTTTTGTAAATGCAAAAAAAAGGTGTGAGTTGAGTAGAGATAGGCCTTGCCCTAAAGAGGAAATGCTGCCACCAGTGAAGCATATATAATTCCAAACGGCTTTTTCTAGATTTATTTTTATGGTTTTGGACTTACCATCAGGCACATCAGAGATATTTTTCTTGCAGCCCTGAACTTTTCAATTTTCCTTTTAGGTCTCATCTCCTCTCCAATGATCTGCGTTTATCAGTGCATGCTCCTTTGGTTCACATTCACCCTGCACCCCTCCAACACACAGTTATAGCATCTATCTATCTCTCTCTGTCTTATTCCTCCACTCATCCTCCCTCCGTCTCTCTCTATCTCTCTTTTTTTTTCTTTCTCTTCTTCTCCCGCTCTATCTTGTTGATGAGAGAGAGAGAGAGAAAGAGAGAGAGAGAGAGAGAGAGAGAGAGAGAGAGAGACAGACTCTGGGGAGGGCGCAAGAGCGAGGTGAAGTGCGCGTGCTCTGTCGCCGCCGTTTCAGAGCAGAGGAGCTTTTACTCAGCTGCTGATGAGGGACGGAGGGAAGGATGCACAGATAGAGTGATGAGTGAATGAATGATCCCGACCCGGGCTTCTTCCAGAGAACCGAAGACTCAAACCACGTGTGTATTACTATTCTTATTCACTGTGCGTGCATTCTGATTGCTTTCATGTCATATGTGAGCCGTTTGTGTGACAGGAGGCAGTCGGTAAGTGTATGTATGTGAAGCCCGTTAATTGAAGAGATCGGTGCATGCGTGCGTAAATAAGGAGCGCAAAACCTGTCGGTGCGAGATCAAGTGAAGGGGGAGACGAGCGAAAAGGAAAGTGATCTTATAGAAAAGGGAGGGAGAGGAATGTACCGGACAGCAATGCATGACCGGGGGTCTCCCTGAGCTGAGCCCCCTTTCCGCGAGACGCATCCAGTACCGCTCCAATTCACCCCACAGCGCAGTTTCCTCTCCGCGCTAGAAGAAGGGTGAGTGACAGTGAAGCTGCAGGGCTTTCACCCCTTGGACCGGGGCTGGGGTGCCGGTGGCCGGGGAGGGAGCATGACGAGATTAAGGTCAGGTTATAGTGGACGCATCCGGGTCTAAAGGGACTGAGCACTGGGTCAGCCAGGGTGCAAGAGGAGATAGGCGAGGGCAGCACATAGATGCACTGAGAATGGGATGTTGATGAAGGCATTTGAACGGTGAGAGAGCATGATGATGATGCCAATTGAAATGCAGTCAATTTGATTATTTGATTCAAATAAGAGCTCTATAGAGGTAGGAATTATTCAATTGTAATGCTTTTTTAAGACATTATTCGTGCTGTGACGATGATGGCACTGCTGCTGATGATTGGTTGATCTCTATTTTAATGGTTTTATTGTGACATTCTCTTCGTTTTTGCATTCGTCTTAAATAGTTGTACTTTTGTCTCATAATCAGCTTTTCATCTGAAATCACTATTGTTATATTATAAACAAAGTAATAATATAAGAAATATAAACAAGTATGGTTTTATTGATGAATTGATATTGGTGTTGATGATAATGATGAGGAAGAGGAGCAGGACGATGAATGTACCTGTAAAGGTGGTACATTAGCTTAACGCAAGCAAAAGTGCCTTCATTTCTCTCTTTATTTATTTTTGTCAGACAATTACATTGAAGCATCTGTTAATTTTTTACAATGACCATGAATCAAATGGGAATGTGCATTTTTCTAATGGCCAGCAGGGGGCGACTTCCCTGCTTACTAGAATAAGTCAGATTCTATAGAAATCTATGAGAAAATGACCCTACATCTTGCTTGATTTATCAAACATTTTGCTGTGTCACTTGTTAGTTTCAAATCTTCATCAATGCAACATGTAATTTATGATCCCCTTTTAGGGAATACAAGATTAAACAGGATATGCTTCAGGGTGGGGCTACTACGACAAGATTTCTGGTTTGTTGTCCTAGTTTTCAGCTTTAAACCTTTCAGTGTGCTTACACTAATATTTTGATCGTCTCTTACGTAACCCATGGTTCGAAAAAAATGAAATGCCAACAGCAGAAATGCCAAATCTGTTGTCCACTTAGCGATGGATTACATCATAGTGATCACATCCACTTCTTATAAAGGCAGCATGAGGATGTTGAGGAACATTAAGATGAAAATGCTTCCAGTAAAAATTCCTTATGGTAGCATGTGGCAGTGGTTTTAATGATGATTGTGAAGGTAGCCTTTTGATAACAGCAACATTGTGAATGATGTGGTTGAAGATGATGATATTGAACACGGTGTGGTGGTAGTTTTGTAATAATAGCTGAGTTTATGACAGCATGATGATTTTTTTCCACAAAGATAAATAATTAACATGAAGATATGTCGCCTTCTTAATAATTCAAACACCCAAGCTGTCTAAAGAAATGTAGGCTATAGATTAATTTGCATATCTCAAACCATTTTTAAGCTTCCTTCCATCAGCAACAATGAGTCTTTGTGTTAAGAAGCTTTGAAGCCATCTAGCTGGCTGCTACGATCCACTGGGCATTTGCTGCATGTCTGCAGGGCGGTGATAGAACATTTCTGACAGTTCAGACGTGCAAAGCATTTTTCCAGCTTCTAGTATAGGGTCAAAAATATTTCTGGATTTTTCCTTGCTGCAAGATTGCATGATTTAATGATTAAAGGTTTAAACTTTCTCAAGTTAAGCCTTGGTTTATAGGCCATGACACAGAAATAACTTCTTGAAACGTTGATGTAATGGAACTTCACTCAAAGTTCTCATTTATAAAAAGACAACCCCTTAATTTAGCCCTTAAACAGCAGCAGTATGTTTTTGGGCTTTCCTTCCATCCGTGTTGATTTAGTTCCATCCGTCCAAATATTCATCCTGGGTGAGCTGTGTCTGTAAATGACCGAAAGTACAGAGAAAACATGTGTTTGGAAATAAAACCTCATGCATTTATTCATTATTTTTTCCAAGGCCTAATCCTAGAAATGTCAATATTGTCTGATTTGGTCAGGCTGTCACATTTGGCAACGGGTTACGTGTGTGTTTTGTGTATGCACATAATGCATGCTGCCCCCGTACCTGCTTAGTCTAGGTTTGTTTGTTTTGGGGCCAAAAATATGCCACACTTAATGCCCGGTGCTTCATTACCTGTGACTGTGTCCTCAATGGACCCATTCAACAAAACACTCACTTCCCTGCTTGAGAAGGTGGTAACCCTGTATTGGCCTCTATTCTTGTCCACGTTAATCTGGTTATGTGCATCGTTGGCACTGGACTCAGGGTTACTTGTGTGGTTACCAATTCCGGCTCTCCGGGATCCCGCTACTGTCAGCTTACCTTGTCTGGCTAATAGCTGGGAGGGACAGGAAAGTCCCCGCGGTCATAATCCTCTTCTCTCCTGAGTGTGTGTTTGTGTGTTACATGCTGTTATCACTGTCAGTGGGGGGTTGTTAGCTCTGGAGATAAATTGTGTCTGCTTGGTGTCAGGAGGAAGATGATAAAGACTGGGAAGTAGAAAAAGAAGAAATTAAGAAGAGGAAGAGGAATATAGCCTGGAGGCTTCTGTAAAAGCTGCCAGAGTAAAAAAGGACATTTGACAATAATGTTTAGGTTTTTAATTAACTGAGAAATAGCGTTCAAATATTTAATCACTCACAATTTTTTTTTTATGGTCCTCATATGGCCTCCGGACCTACAACAGTGTTTAATGGCTTTGATTCTAAGTCATAATCTTTACATCTAGACATCAGGTTTTGTTCAGAAGGGCGATTTAGAAAAAAAAAATAGTTGCTTATAAAAATGACCTAGTCATCAGTACTATTCTTTATATTGCAGCACGTTGGGGCTCCACATGCTTTCTGCATGTGCATTTCTGCACTGCTATAAAGCCTGTTTCCCCATGCCGTCCCCCACAGCGATCATTAAACTTTCAGTTCCCATCTCAAGCTTTCTGACTGACTCACCAACTACATTTTCATTTTGCTTTAACACGTGGAGCCTGCATGTTGATTTAAAAAAGCCCACTCCATCTCTTTTATGTGTTTAGACTTCTGCTTTACTCAGGATGATTTCAAGAGGCATTTTAATCTCACTGCCACCTAAGAGTGAATCAAGCCCCTCCCCCCCCCATTTGGGCGTTACCAAGCATGCCATCCTCCTACAGGTTGATTAATTAAGTCCCTATAACAATAGTATGTGATGAGGGTGATAGATCGTGGTGTTCATCTCTTCCTGGCTGTGGCACAGACTTGTTGGCCTATCCTGTTTTATTTAATGCAGTGCTTGACATTCATGGAAAGAGCCCAATATGCTGCCGGCTCTGCCCCAGCGCTACATCACATATTGGCAGCTCGACACTTGCTGGACTAGAGGCTACTGTGGATGGAGGCCAAGGGTGCTGCTTATACTATCAAACTAATCTGTCAAACATACAACTTTACAGTCGGTGCAGAGAGTTGTTAAATTTAGCTGTAATATCTGAAAATATAACTGGACCTAAAGCCTGATAGTGCAGGAAACACTCAGAGAAAATGTAAAAATGTATTTAACACGAGGTGACTTAGGGACTGAACACACTATAATCACTTGCACGGGGCGTGAACCATGATTTATTATGAAAGTAAGACTTTGTGATTTAAAAATAAAACAATAAAGAGGAGTAGTGCTAACCTAATATAAACCTGATTCATCTCACGGGCCCTCTATCACTCATTCCGCTCAGTTTCCAATCACTCCTAAAGCATCGCTTCAGGGATTAATTTGACACGTTTATTGCCCAATGGTGTGATTTCAAAGCTGGGCGGCAGTTTCTGATGCACCAACAGGGGTCTCACTTGCACGGCAGACTGATTTGGCCATCAGGAGTGAAGCTGCAAATTAACTCACATTCAGTGGCATTAATTGCCACTGAATGCAACATGCACCATTTCTGTTTGGTCTTCATATTAACCTAACCAAAGAGGACAGTCAGATCTTGCAGTGTTATTTTCCTCTCAGTATTGATTTGTGTTATATCACCTAGAAGTGAAGGTAATATATTGTATGCATTTACTCCATTTATCACCCACAAGCCTCTTGTAAATTATATTTAATCACATTCAAAAGAGTGTAAAGTTATTTATTTCTATGAATATGAAGCCAATATACAGCCATAAATCTCCAGATTGTATATTTATGAATGAGAGGGCTGTGCATGCTGAGAGATGAGTGATAAAGTAGAAATCCACTTTAATATCTTTATTACAGCGTTTTTTTTTTGTTATGTCATGCAGTATTTTATCCCACAAAACACACAGGTGGAACATGTATAACATTATTTCCAGATGACCCAATTTTGATTTATGTCCATCAATCAAAGGAGGAACAGTCCACCACATTCAGAGATACCTCAATAGATTAAGGAGCAGTGCAGCACCACTGCAGCCTGTGTGGGTCTAAAGTGGCTTTCTCCAGCCTTAGTGACTGATGTACATGATGTAGGTGGAGGAATTGTAGATGCACCAGAAAGAAAAGTGCACCACTTAATCAAAAAGCCTTACTCAGCAACCTACGTTTGACCTATTGGTCATAGCACACAAAGAAAGGCTGCAGCAGCAAAATCCCTCAATGTATTGAATTGAGCAATGTTGAGTTAAATATATTTTAAATTCAAATTTGAATCAGTAAGAATTGAAAAGTTGCATGGTTTCAAGAAGTCTCAATCTTAATGCCATATTTTCGTGATTGTTTTTCAATAAAATCTGGATTCCTATGTGAATGATCCTATTAATGGTCATATACTCAATCATGGCACAGCAGTTGTTGCATTTGTTATTGCATCAGTATTTAATTGAGCAATGTTGCGTTAAATATATTTTTTATTTGAATCAGTAAGAATTCAAATGTTGCATGGTTTCAAGAAGTCTCAATCTTAATGCCATTTTTTCGTGAATGTTTTTGAAATAAACCTGGATTCTGGTTCTATTAATGGACATATAGCAGCGTTAAGGCATTCCAACTAATAAATGCATTGTGTTGCTTTAATATAAATAGGAACAGTTACTTGTTTAGATAAACCGTCTTAATCTCACTGGCTGAGGATCTTTCTGCAGAATCAGGCATGAAGTAAGATTTGTCAGCCCCCCTTAACCAGGTTATCAAACACAGGCAGACATCCCTCGTAATCCAAAAGTGAACAAACACACACTTCACTCAGGACAACCT